AAGAAAGTTTGCAGAAACTGAAAGCTGGTCTGTATAGGTAGTAACGCATCAAGGGAAACTTGTTTAGTGTGTGATCATAACCTAACTAACATACTTGCCTTATTCCACTGAAAAAGCCACAGAAACCTACTTACAAATCACCTCTGTGAATACAAGTTACTGTGGAAGGACAGAAGCTCAGTGAGGCAGAGGAACATGATCCCAGCCAGATCTACCTACAGGAAAAGAACCCCATCCCATCTTTGCAGTACCTTCCTTTCATCATATCACATCTCAGAAGCAGATTCTGTTTAGATGCATGGAACTTAAGGAGACTGTCCACTGGAGCATTCCCTGACTACTTGCACACTCTTCAGAATGTCACACTCTGAAATGAAACTCGTCTCAGCATCAAGCATTCTTCTTTGTGAACTGGGCTGTTGTAGCAATTTAGTTTCCTGAAATATTACTGCCTTAACAACTATTAGATTTTTCAGTGCACTGAGGGAAAAATTACATTAGATCCCACATCGTGTGAAATTAATAATGTTTGAAATTTCAGTAATTGATATAGTTTCAATATATACTTATATATGTATACTTAAAACTGAGCTGTAAACAGAGAGAACAGTCTGGGAAGAGTTTAAAAGTTAAACAATACAGCAACACAAACAATGCTGTCTAAAAGGACATGTACTCAGCTCAGTTAGTAGAGTACTTACCTAACATGCAGGAATCTCTAGGAATAATGCACACCCACCACCACGCCTACGAGATATAAATAGTGGCTCATTCCTGCAATACCAGAATTGGCGAAGTAGAGGCAGGAAGGCCCAAAGTTCCAGGAAGTCTTGAGTTATACAATAAGTTTGTGGCCAGTCTAGGCTACAAGAGCCCGTGTCACACAAATACCCAAAGAAAGAAATCCACTGCTTACTGTGTACCTTACCTACCAATGAGTAATGGACTGTTGAACTAGATTCAGCATGCTTTCAACCAACACTCAGTTGGGTCTTTGGGATTCTGCTCTAAGGGAGGAATGACAGTTTCTTGACACCTAAGAGTATTTCAGGAGATGATGGCTCACCTGGAGTGGTATGGTACTTCTAAGATATAGTTCTAGTTCTAATTCAGGCACATAGTCTTTGGTCAGTCTACATCAGAGTTTTCTTTAATCACAAGAGTGGAGAGGCCTGACATGGCATGTGATCTATGGACAAGAGTGTAGCCAACAGAGAAAGTGCTCTAGTTAAATTGCCTTCAGCAATGTGAACTTTATCTTGTACCCATGTTTAATTTTCTAAATTACAGTGCCAACAGAACAAACAGATTGTGTATCCGTATGCCTGTGATTATGTCTACTTCTGATATATAACTCACTCTTAAAATTATACTTACCTGTTACTATGAATAAAGATAATTACCTTTACCTGAAGGGAGAGAAGTGGGGGTAGGGGTGGGTATTTTCTCAGTTTCTTGGAGAGCATCAGAAGGGCAGAGACTGCATCTTCTGAAGCAGGACCGTTTCAGGGGTTCTTTACTATTAGCTGTATAAGTTGTTCACTAAAAAACTGTTTATCATTTATCTTTGGTCTAATGAACTCATTAATAACCCACATTCACATGGAGGTAGAAAAAATAAGTTATTCCAATGGTTTGAAATTAAAATCCTATTGAAGAATGTAGTTATTGAATTAGTAGGAAAACTAACTCCTTATGACTGGACAGATCATTTCAAAAAAAAGCTGAGAACTGATCTCTGTTAGATTACAGCACACTGACTTAGCCCTGACAGGGAGGTGGGGGGAAGTAAACACAGCAAAGTCACAGCACAGAACTACACAGATGTGTTTGTCATTATGGATTTAATCACAAGAAAGCAACTTCTCTGTCCTGGGGTCATCTGCTGAATATTATTCTCATCCAACTTCTCCTTTTTAGTTGTCCCTCAACTCACTTGGAAGGACCACAAATTAAAGGGCAGCCATGTATGTGAACACCAGACACATGAGTGGTTAAGGGAAAAAACCCTAGTTGCCACTTGGTTAATTTCTGGTTGTTTTAAATTTGTTTTCTTTCACAACACATGGAAAGCAAATCTCTCTCATGTGGCAGTCTGAATTTCTTCATCTCACTGACAAAATGACCCTCCTCAGTGGTCACTCACGAAAAGAGTATAACTTCATTCTATTCATGCAAGACATGCAACTAACATTAACCAAAAAACTTCAAATATTTTGATCCCGACATTGAGGCTTTTTTTCCAAACTAGTTAGAATATGGTTATATTGACATCCACCCTCCATTACAGGCCCTTACTATTTATATTATGGTTGGTAAGAAATCCAGATATTGAGTATAGCTAAGTGTCTATGTAGGGAATTTACCATCCCAGAGAGTGCAAAAAGGAAAAGAATATCATCCCTAGATAGTAAAGTAATAAAACATAGCTGTGAGTGTAGCTCATGTTAAAACACACATGGCTCTTGATCCTTTCTGTAGCGCGCACACACACACACACACACACACACACACACACGGCCAAACAGACAAGTAAAATAGGAAAAATAATTCTATTGTTCCTTCATTTCACTTAAATTTGTTCATTTGACTGATCAAATAAAAATAATAAATCAAATTCTTATGATCTGATTCATTAGGCCTTGAGATAGCCTTGTGGGTAAAGATGCTTGCTGTCAAAGCTAAAGGCCTAAGTTAAGTCTTCTAGACTTACACAATTCAAAATTAGTAGGGAACAATTCAAATCCTAATTTGGCCTCTGACCATATGTTTACAATGGCAAGGGTTCACCTGCCCACACAGACACTGACAAATAAATAATTAAAATTGTAGAAAGAGTTCACTTAATTCTTCAAGACAATATCTAAACATTTGCTGTGCTCGCAAGTTTTGTATATCAGTGAAAGAATTCCAAAGGTGGAGTGTTCCTGGGACTCAGGAGACCATCTAAAAAGAATAGGATCTTCTTGTGTTTATGTGAACATTGACGTCACATTTGAGAAGTGTTTGTTAAATAAGAGACACTATTGTGAAGCAATTTGTAAATATTATGCCCCCTCTACACAATAATCCTGAAGCACACACCAAGGAAATAACAGAATTATGAAGAGTTTTGAAGAATTATTGGAGCTGGATTTGAAAAGTCATATGTGCTTCAATGTGTAGCTCTTGATGTTTGTGGAAACTGATTCAAATAAGATGTTCAAGTGAACACTGAGAAGTGAAAACAATAAAGAAGTTAGTAGTGCAATTCTTGGGATGGAGTAACAGATTGGAGATGGTAATTCAAAGCAGAAAATATGGAGGTCAACAGAGCTTGTATTTTAACGTAAATGAATACTCCCTGGGGTAATACCAAAAAGTACTAATAAAGAATAACTTTTTGTGGTATATATCATCATGGCTCCATCTCCAAACTAAAGGATTATAACAGCTATTGAAAATCTATTAAGAACCAATCAGGAGTGTCGCAGGCTTTTAATCCCAGCCTTTGAGGCTGGGGTATGCGGCTCTCTATGAGTCCAAGACCTGCCTGGTGTATAAGAGCCGGTTCCCAGGCAGCCTCTGAAAAACCTGTTCCAAGAAACAAAAAAAAAAAAAAAAAAAAAAAAAAAAAAATTCTACTAAGAAAACTATGAAAATGAGTCATCAAGAATGAAACCAGATCCAAATTATAAAGGATCTCAGTCTGTTCTTCACTACCTTGCCAATATGCCATGTTGACATTTTCTGCTTAGTGTATTTGAACAGTGTCACTACTGGCCTACAGCACACATGCACTGGAGTTTAAGGCTTCTTCTGCATGTAAGAAAGCTTAGTTGGGGCCAAAACCCAACTCCAGTCAGCTCTGTCCTAAAACCACATGGCCCAAAGTGATAAACTAAATTTGGGCAAGTACAGTGGTACCTAGTTTTGCAACTTGGTGTGGTTCAGTGAGCACAGCAAACACAGGTAGCTCCCAGAACTTCCTTGAGGGCAATTAATACTTATCAGTTGATCTTCTGTTCAATCACCCTGAAGGTAACAACTGGGGAAATGAACTGACACATCAGCTCTAACTTCCAATTTAGGGAAAAACAAACCAAATTTCTGATGCTTAAAAACTTTAGATGGTCTGTTTTATTTGTTTGTTTGTTTTTGTTTTCTTTTCCAACATACTTTGCCAAGTTCCTACATAGTTTTCTTGGAGGAAATTCAAAGCAGTCATTACTTGGAAGCACATGGAGCAATGAAATGAGATCTGACACTGAAAAATAAAAAGACATTTCAGAGCAGTGACTCTCAGGTCCTACATTTGAGATACACAAAAGCATCAGCTTATTTCATGAGGCCTACAAATAGGATGCTAAATAGGGCAGTGCTGAGCAGAATGTCTCCATCTCCAGGAATTAGTACACACACACACACACACACACACACACACACACCCACCCCACCCACCCACCCACCCACCCACCTACCTACCTGCTATTAATTCCGAGTCAAGAAAGGATATTTCTTAGGAGTCAAGTGGTATAACTGGGCTGATCACAGTGAGTTCGAAGTGTGAATGCGTCATCGTCTCTTACGTCAGAGGCCGTTTTCTGACACTGATTATGACGGAGGACGACATCTCTGCGTAGGAGCGTTTCCCCCTAGCTACTACAGTGTGGCTTTTGGACTGGAGAGGATAGGACAGAGCGTGATAGTAGCTGTAACTTGGGGGCTGAGCTTTCACTCCGGGGCTGTGCCCCAGGCCTCGGAGTGTAGGCCTGCAGCCCCAAACTGGGTGCTTTAGGTTTTCTTGCTCCAGCTCTCCAGGACTCTGGTGCTGGAGGTCAGAGTGCCAGCGTTGACGCGTCAACTGAGATAAGGAGGTGGAGAGGGCAGTGGTGCCAGCCGGCCCCAGAAGCCTTCCCTTTCCCAGTGTCCCACTGACTGTGCTCTGCTCTGCTGCTGTCCATCTGTCCAGCCGCAAGGCCCCCCATGGTGGGCACAGGGATGGCGGTGCCTCGTACTGCCACCGTGGTGTGCCCATGGAGGATTTTTGAGCTGCTGCCAGTTCTAATTATCTTCATGTTCTGTGAATTTAAAGTAAGTAGTGCCATGCTCATGGTTCATTTGCCCATGAATAAAAATGCTCTATGGAGGTTCTAAATGAAATAAGGATTTTGGTCATTTTCATCATGTTTGGGGAGAAAATACACAAAATTAATCCACAGTTGAAGTCTATTGCCTATAGAAGTACACATGCAAAATAAGGGAAGGGAGTGATTGTTTTTCCTTGGGTTGCTGGCAAAGTCTTTAGACTGAGCAAATAAGTTTCAGTAGATGAGGTGTGAAAACAGCATACACAGGAGCTCACAGCATAAGTGAGCCAAGGGCCTGATGTGACATGATGCTCACTGTAGACCAGTGGGTCTCAAGGATTGCTGTGGGGTGTGAGATCCAGCACAGGCTCATCAGTGATGAGACCCATAGAAAAATGTATAGATATTCCTGATAGTATGAGAATCAAATGTCAGGGGAAAAAAACACAGGAAGGAGAATTGATAGGGATAAGGATAGAGAAGTTGGTCCTAAATGGGGCAAGAAGAAATAAGAGCTAAAATGAGTGTGACTTTCTTGATTAGCTGCAGAGAGGGGTGGGATGTGTGAAGAATCTGGAATAGTCCCAAGTTCCTGGCTCTGTCAGCTAAGTTACTGAGATGGGCCTTATGGGAAGAGAAGCATATTGTAGATGAGAGATGATTTCAGATCACACACATCTCCCTCAGAATCCACAATCAGGGCCTAGGGAGATGACTCAGTGCCGAAAGGAAAGTGCTTGCCATGATCTGGAGTAGGAGCCCTTAAGGCAATGTAAATGCTGGGTGGAGGTATGAATAGAGGAATCCCAGGTTCACTGGTCATCAGTTTATCAGAGAATGTGTGAGCTCTAGATTCAGTGAGAGACTCTGCCTTAGAAAAATTGAGGTAGAGAAGGAAGACATTACAACAGCAGCCTCTGGCTTTTCACATAAAATACACAGGCACCTAGCAGTTACCAACACTTATTTTTGATAAGGTTGGGGGTGAGGAACACGGAGGGATTTTGCAGACTTGGCTGGATTTTCTGTGGTTCAGTGGGCTGTGTGGATGTGTGTTGCATTTTGTAAGGGAACAATTCTCTCCCCTTCAGGATGGTGTTAGCTATGAGTCTTCTATTGGTGCTGTTTGTCAGATTGAGAAAAGTAGTCCTAGTTTGCAGTCTCCTGATGATTAGACGGTCGATTTTCTTACATGTTTTATTACTATCTGTTGAGATCTTCTTTTTCTTCATTTCTTTTACTGTGGATTATGACATTGATTTTTTTTAACTGAGCATTACATTCCTTTCTGTGTATATATGGTGTGTGTGTGTGTGTGTGTGTGTGTGTGTGTGTGTGTGTGTGTGTAAATCCAAAGCCCCAAGAGTCGGTTTTTTCCTTCTACCACATTGGTGATGGGGGTCAAACACAGGTCCTGAGGATTGGTGGCAAAGTTTTTACCTGCTGAGCTATCTTCCTGGCCCAATAATATTTAAAATTTTTATTTAGATTTATTTATTATATATAGTGTGTTCTGTCTCCTTATATCCCTGCAGGCCAGAAGAGGGCACCTCATTGCAGATGGTTGTGAGCTACCATGTGGATGCTAGGACCTGAACTCAGAACCTCTTGACAACTAGCTAATGTTTTTAACCATTGTGAGATCTCTCCAGCCCCTGCCCCCACATATTTTTTTTTTACAAAGTCTTTTATGACTATAAATTTTCCTGTTACACACTGAATTAGTTGTTTTGTGTAAGTTTTATGTTGCATTTTATTATTTGTTTTAAAAAAAACCTTTTATGTTCATGGATGTTTTGCTCGTGCATGTATGTCCATGCGTCACATGTTTGCTGTGCTTAAAGATGCCTTAACGGGTGACATATTTCCCTGGAAATGGAGTCATAGATAGTGGTGAGCCACCAAGTGGATCCTGGGAAACAAACATGGGTCATTTATCTACAAGAATGACAAATGCTCTTAACTGCTTAGCTCTCTCTCCAGCCCTTCCTGTTTTTTTGATAACTAATTTTAACCCGTTGTAATCAGAGAAGATGCTTCTTGACATGGGAATTTTTTAATTGAATTTTTACTATTTTAAACTATGTGTATGTGTGTGTATATGTGCTTGTAGCTTCAGCTGCCCAAGGAAGCGGCAAGAGGGCATCAGATCTCACAGAGCTGGAGTCATGGGCAGGCACTTAGGGACTTCTTGACATGGATTGCTGCAAGAGCAGCAAATGTTTTCAGCTGCTGAGCCATTTCTCTGGGCTTGGCCATGTGGTTTGATTATTTAAAGAAACAAAACAAAAAACAAAGAAAACATTGATGTGTGTTTTAGCTTAATGCCTGGATTTTTTCTGAAGAATCTTCCATGTACATTTGAGAGTGAATGTATTTTCTGCTATTATTGCATAGTATTTTGCTAGTATGATAGTCTAATTTATTTGTTGTGTTTTTACCATGTTCTCTTTTCATGCTGACTCACTGAAAATGAGATCTAAAAATAACTAACTACTGTTGATGAACGGTTTGTTTTATCCTTACTTCAACAGATTTACTCCATTTTATTGTTCTCTTGCATAAAATCCTACATCTTAAAGACTGAGCTACCCTTTTCCATCACATCTTTGTTTCTAGTAACAGTTTTAGTCTTAGTCTTTTTTATCTGCTATCAGAGGAGTCTACTTGTTTATGATCAGTTAGTATTGGGACCTGGTGATAAAGACTAGAATAACCCACTGAGGGAAGATGGATTCAGGAAGAGGTAAAATATGCAATTAACTGCAGGCCTTACTCTGTGAGGTGTGGAAGAATATTTTAGAGGGTATGTGGAGGGCTTGGATATACATTCATAGTCTCTGGAGTGAGATAATGGAAATATTTGCCGTGCCTGAATATCTATTCTTGTGATCCTAGAAGCAAATCGTTATCATTGCCTTGCAACATGATATCACACTTGTTTGTATGTGGCTCAGGTGAGAAAGAGAGAGAGGACCAGGATAAAATATTTTCAACCCTTTTCTGAGCCCTTGTAAGGTCAGTCCTGTACCTTAAGGATCTAAAACACAAGGTTAAAGGAACTCTCCATGAAACCCAAAGCAGAGGCTGTGCACCTACACTTTGGATCCTTTCTGGAGTCACAGATGTAAAAAGGAAAATAAAGATACAGGGAATAAAAAAAAGAGGATACTATTGCATGTATTTTTTTTTGGTAGAAGTTAATAAGCTGTAGATAGCAGCTGGTAAAAGGTCCTTGTCATGTACTAGCATAAAACAGGTTTTATAGATAGTAATTATCTAAGGATTTGTTGTTCATTTTGTCAGACCCCAAGGAGAAGACAGCTGTGGAGTTTCTAGATGGTGTATGTTGATGCCTGGAAAGAGTCAAGCCCATCATTTCTAGGGTTGTTTTTGAAAGAGCCATTTTCTTTTTGGGCTCAAACTGCATTAATTTAACTCAAGAGACAGGAAGGAAGGGTTTAAATCCCAACTCTGAAGCTCTGTCATTAGTTTCTTATCACTCTCCCTTCCTCAGAGGACAAGCTGCAGTTCAGTGTTTTTCCTCTGCAGGAAATGTTTTTTCAAACCCAGTGCATATGGATAAATCATGAACTTGAACTCAGGGAAAAGAACCCAACCCAGATCATTGATACTTTTTTTTTTTTTTTTTTTTTTTTTTTTTACTGGATTTTAAAAATCTTTGGTAGGGACGGTGTCCCTCACCCATCTCCTAAAATAAATACATTGAGATTTATTCTTACTTACGAATGGCTGGCCTTAGCTCAGCTGTTTCTAGCCAGCTTTTCTAAATTAAATTATCCCATTTCTCTTTATGTGTTGCCTCTGAGCTCTTTTCCCTTTATTTATTCTATATGCCTTTCTTTCCTTCTTACTCTATGACTGGTGCCCTTGGTGTCCTCCTCTTGTCCCTGGATATTCTCTAGGTCTCTCCTCCTATTTATTCTCTCTGCATGCCAGCCAGCCCTGACTATTTTTTCCTGCCTAGCTATTGGTCTGTTCAGCTATTCATTAGGCCAATCAGGTGTTTTAGACTGGCAAAGTAATGCAGCTTTACAGAGTTAAACAAATGCAACATAAAAGAATGAAACACATATAAAATATTCCACAATGTTCTTTTCTTGATACTATATCCTTATCCTTTAACTCTCCTGGAGTTATGCTCTGTGGAATCTCCCCATAACTTCTGTTTGAAAACTACTGTTTCACCACACTTAGCCCCTCAATAAGAACAATTGTAATTTACTAGAAAACATGTTTGGAGGCATTCTGCTTTGTATTTTATGGTAGCCCATTCAATATGAATAGAGTTGGCCACAGCCACCTGTGCCTGTCTTTGTACCAGTACTGTTGAAGAAGCATGCTTATAAGTTTATTTTCTTTGTCTTGAAGGTTGTGGCAGCAGTGCCTGAAGATATGACAACAAGCTTTGATCCTAGTGAGCCATCATTAGAATCGCTGATATGTGTGGTTGCCATTGGACTGGTTACCATTTTCTTATTTCTTTGGAGAGGATACCGATCAGTAAGTAACCACTTATAGTAAGTGAATGGTCATTCTAAGTTTTTTGTTTTTGTTTTTTAAGTTTATTTCCTTTTATGTGTATGCTGCTTTGCTTGTATGCATGTGTGTGTGGTATGTGTTCCTGGTCTACAGAAGTGATTAGTGGGCCATTGTTGGATGCCCTGGAGCTGGAATTACTGATGACTGTGAGCTATAATGTTGATGATGGCATTTGAATCTTGGTCCTCTACAAGACTAACAAATGTTCTGAGCCATTTCTCTCTAACCTTCATTTTGTGTTTAGATTGAACATCTAATTGGAGAAACTTGTTATTTCAGGGAAATGAGTTAGGTCTTAGTGTTCTGCGTTATGCTAACAGGTGGTTTTTAAAAACTGAACAGAGATTAACAGAAATATTTTTATGTAAGTGTATTTTAAAGGATTTTATTGTAGGGATACTACACACTAGTACTAAAGCCCCAACTTTCTTTCTTTCCCTTTTCTTCTTTAAATTTGGGGTGTCTGTGTTTGTTTTTAACAATATTAAAAAGTTTGCAGGTGTATCTACTTCCCAACTAAGAGTAAAAATCGCTACTTTCATGGCTCTCCTGGATCCTATATTGCTTTTTCCTATGCCGTTTTCCTAGCTAACTGTTTTTAAGGAGGGAGTCATAACATAGCCTTTTCTTTCTGAGACTTCTTTTTAGATGTTGGCCTTTGTGCTTCTGACTGACTTCATTTCTAATATCTTCATGGTTTTTTCTTCCTTACCTTCTGCTTACATATATCCTACTGTTTTTTTTTTTTGTCATTTTTTTTCTTCCAGTTTTCTGTCTCTGTTTTCTAGGTGGCATGAGTGTTCTTGTTTGCATCCCTTGATCACTTTACCCTATCCCCACTGTTCTCAAGGGTGGATTTATCCCTTCCTTATCGAAAGCTGAAGTATGAAGAAGAAAAAGACTAATGAGTTTTTTTAGTCAGTCAAGGTCTAGAGTCCAATGATATTTCATATATTTTTATTTTGATTATTAACCGTAGGAGATTTAATAATGGTGGCTCCTTAAAATACTTTGTTTTAGAGCCAATATATGCATGGGAAACATGGAGTTAAGTGGAATTATACAGTTTTCTTTAGAATAAGACTGTTTCAGAGCCTTTAATATGGTAACACACATGATACCACACAATGGGAGATCTTACTATATAGCATTGTTTTCATTTGAAATAGAAGGCTTTTGGGTAATTTATTTACCATAAGGCCATAAGAAAGTTGGCATCTTAAAGCTGGAAGTAGAAGTCAGATAGATTTGCTTGAAGATATATTTGTTTTAATGTAATTTTGTTAAATTTTTTTTTCAGATTCAAAGCCGACTTTATTTGAGTAAGTAGTCTTTTTTGATTTTAGATCTTGTGATTGTATATAATTTAAAGTGTTTTCACACTTTAGTCATAATAATTTTTTCTTTGCTTGCTCAGTAAGAGAGAATAGACTGGCTGTGGCACTTGCAATGGAAATCAAAAAGAAATGTCATCTAATTGACAAAGTGTGCCTTGCTCAAGAGGAGGTAAGATGTGTTTGAAAATACCATCCATCACAGTGTGGAGCTTAATTATTCTCCATGGGTTATTGCCTGCCATCAGAGCTTTGTTTCAGACCAGAGCTCTGTTGCTGCTCAACTTCATCACTTAGCCATTCTCTTTGCAGCCACCCTGGTGATGTGTAGTGTTTACCTTCCCTGACTAATTAGTCAGAGCACCTTGATTTGCTTATTGCTCATTTAGATATTGTAAAATTGCCTTTTAAGTCTTTTCCACGTTAAAAGATGACTTTATTTTTATTGTGTGTTTCTATTTGTGTAGGCGTGTACCAAGAATAGGACATGGAGGAGTCACTTTCCTCTTTTTATTACGTGGGTCCCTAGGATTGAACTCAGGTTATCAGTCTTGGCAGCAAGCTCCTTAACTACTTACTGAGCCATCACACTTGCCCATTTCCATCCTTTTAAATGCACTCATAATCTTTCTCAGTTTATGCCATATAGATTAGGGCCTTTGCTTTTACTATTTTATGTCATATATAAGAAAGAGTTTTGTCAGATATATGGATTGTAAATCTCTTCTACTCTGTGGCTTACATTTCTGTTTTGTTCAGTGTCTTAGAAGGTAGAGGATTTGAATTACAATTTAATGTAGTGTAATGTTTCATGAGATTTTTTTTTGCTTATCAAGGATGTAAAGGTACTTTTACTTGTTATCATGTAGAGACTTTATTTACTGTTTTCATTCGGGCATGCTAGGGCTACTGTGACAAAATACCTTTAGCAGCAGAAGTGAATTTCCTTACAGTTCTTGAAATGAGTCCATGAAGATATAGCCAGGCTTTGCTTCCTCTGTGACCTGTCCCTTGACTTTAGATATTGCTGTCTGCTTGTTATGTCACTCTCTGTCCTAGTGCTCTCCACATAGGATACCAGTCATATTACGTTGCAGTCATCTTAAATCCCTCATTTTACCTAGCTGTATTTAAAGGCTTTGTCTCTAAATAACACAAATTCTGAGGTGCTGAGACAGGGTTTCTCTGTGCATCACTGGCTGTCCTGAAACTCACTCTGTAGACCAGGGTGGTCTGAAACTCACAGATTTTATCTTCCTTACTTGCCTTATTTATCACATGATATAAATGTCTGATAGCCAGTTACCACATATTGTTCTACTGACAGACTGGAGAAGCCATTAATCTGTTCAGGGGATAGTAGATGACTCACTTCTTTAGATCCACTTTAGTCACACTTGCTGTTAGGGTTTTCAGCCCCAGCAGATGTGGACCAACTTTGGTAGTCACAAAGGAAACGTTCTGCCATATGTTGCCTAGGCTGGTGGTTGTGGCTTGTTTGTAGACTTGGCTTTCCTCAGCACAGTGTTTAGATTGCAAAACTAAGCTCATAAAAGCCAAGGGTACTTTACATGGTGGATATAAATTCTGTTTCCTTCTTTGGTGTCTATTTAGATACAAGTTGAGTTAAACTTTGTATTTTTTTCCCTCATGTGTTCCCTTGTTTTATTCACTATGAAGGCTTAGAGTCATCCTTAAAGGAGGCCAACTTTGACAAGGCATCAACAGAAGTACAGAGTTTGAAGGTAAAAAAAAAAGTATGATGTAAAAGCTAGGGAAAAGATTCTTATTAGAAATATCTTGTCTCCTCAAAAACAATTATGTCAGAGAAATATGAAATTGTGTATCTGGATCTTACAATGTACAGAAAAAGTTAGTGGAAACAGAATAGTTGTAGGTGGCATAAAATATTTTAAAACATAACAGTTTTATCTCTTGTCATTAACTTGTTTTGAGGGATACAAAATCAGTTTATCAGAAGCTATAGATTTATAGAAAGAAAGAAATTCTGCATTCTGTACTCTGGTGAATGGATTGGAAAGACAATTCCTACTTTTGACATAGTTTGCTCCAGGAAAGAGACATAGAACTCTCACAAATTTAAGCATAGTAGCAGACAAGTAAGTTGTGACCATATTGTTTTTTCTTACCATGGTAGTAGATATTTACTAAAATTAGAATTGAGGTTTACATTGTAAAGAGTGGCATGGTGATAAATATTTAATCCCTTTCTGTGCATCAACCCTTGTCTACACACTCCATCACAGCCAGTTTTCAGTCCATAACCATGATTTCACAGAATGGAGAGTTTAGGAGAGATGGACAGTTAACTCTCCTGATTCAGAGGACACAATGACTTGTCTTAACAGACAGAGTATGATGTGATGAAGTGCCTCAATACTCTTTGCAAGTGGAACGGTTATTAAAACTGAGTTGTGAGCCTGTAGAGTAAATAGAAGTAGCCTGCTCCTACCAATGATAAAACAGAAAAAAAACTTTGTCCCTTAGATTATGTGTTCAGTCCAGTATGTCAGTTCTGTCATCCTCTGTCCTGAGTAGCAAGTCTGTGTCTTATGATTTAGAATGCCCTTGTAGAATCTGCAGGGAGTTTAGACTCCAAATAAACTCATTAATTTTTCTTTATTTTTACATAAAAGTTTTTTTGGAATGCAACTGTTTTAATTCCTTCAGGGGATATTCATTGTTTGCCGTGGTTAACTGGTGGGCACACTTTTTTTTTATAGAAGTTGCTGGCAACTGTTAAACCTGCTGTTATTTTAATATTTGAGAAATGAAAAAATGTATAAAGTGTTTATAAATTTGAGTATACTCATCTGATTTTTACCCTACAATCATCTGATTTTTACCCTAACTAAAAATTCTTATGTTTGGCTTGTTAAAGTTAACTTTCTATTTTAGGCAACTTATAAAAATCTAGAAAGAGATAAATCTAAACTTGAAGAAGAAATATTACTTATAGAGAAGAAACTAGAAGAAGAGAGAGCTAAGCATTATGAAGAAGAGAAATTGGTGAGTCTTATATATTCCAAGAGAATTATGAATCTTACCTATAAATTAAATATTGATTAAAATATTATATGTGAGCCAACCATAGTGGCACAAACTTATAATACCAGCACTTGGGAGGAAGAAACAACAGTTCCAAGCTATCCTGCCCTGAACAGGGAGGGGATATACTATCTTCAAAAATGTAAATAAACTCATGTATATAAAAAATGGAATGCAGGCTGGGCATTCTTGACAAATGCCTTTAATCTTAGCACTCTGGAGGCAGAGGCAGGTTGATCTCTGTGAGTTTGAGGCCAGCCTGCTCTACTGAATGAGTTCCAGGAAGGTTCCAAAGTGACACAGAAAAACCCTGTCTTGAAAAATCAAAAGAAAAAAAAAATGATGTAGAATAATATGAGAACAAAATTTTTCACATCTGATCTGATCTTTTCACCTCTTTTATTTATTTGTTGTTATGTTTTGTTTTTTCAAGACAGGATTTCTCCATGTAATAGCTCTGGCTGTTGTGAAACTCACTATGCAGACCAGGCTGGCCTGGAACTCACAAAGATCCACCTCCCTCTGCCTCCTGTTTTCTGGGATTAAAGGCATGTGCCAACACCTCCCATCAAACTTTTACTTTTTAGATGTTATGATGAGTGGCTTGTGCATATTCCTGTTTTCTTATTGTTTATATTCATTGACATAGTATTAGAATATAGTCCTGTATGTATAAGTGAGGCTGGCCTAAAACTCATGACCTTCCTGCCTGTGCCTCTTAAGAGCTGGGGTTACAAGTGTGCACCCCCACACTTGGCTCGCTTGTTATTTTAAATGGAAAATTTCAATGTTTACGTTGGAAGTAACCATAAAGAATATAACTTGAATATTCATAGTGAAAAATATATAACATATATAATATATATATATATATCATTTATTTTACTTTAAATTCTGGATTAAGCAAAATCTTGATGTGTGTGAGATTATTTAACATACGAATTAGTGGGTTCACCTTAAACCTGAAAAGTTCTATGATGTATTGCTTTTTTAAGGACATCATGTGATTACATAATTTTTAAAATCCTTGTGAGCACTTGGAATGCAAGCTGACAAGGCCTCCTTATCTGGCCTCTCCCTTTTATTAACAGTAAATTAACAATGTACCTCACTAATGCATGTTGTCTTGGAGCAAAATGGACTTATTAAATACTTACTGACTGATACTGTCTTTTCAGATGAGTGACCTTTCAAAAATGATCCAGTCTCTAGCAGATGAATCACAGTCTGTCAAATCACAGCTAGCTGAAGTAAGTTAAGTTGAAATAAATTAGTCTGTCACTTCTGAAGACCATTTATGTTTCATATTATTATTAGGTATATTTGTCAGAGTTTTTTAGAGGAACAGAACTTATGAGATGTCATCTATCTATCTATCTATCTAAATAGATATCTATCTATATATCAGGTATTTATTAAAGCGATTTCCAGGCTGTGTTCCACTCAGACCAGCAATGTCAGTCTACCAACAGAGAGTCCAAGAATCCAGCACTTTCTCAGTCCATGAGGCTGGATATCTCACCTGATACTCAGTATACACTGGAATACCAAAGAAGTAGGCTGTAATGCCAGTGAGGGTGAGGACCAGCAAGCTTCCTCTTCCATGTCCTTTAGATAGGCTGCTGCCAGAAGGTATAGCCTGGAATATAGGTGGATCTTCCCACCTCAAAAGATCCAGATTAAATGTGGGTCTTGCCACTTGAAATTATTTAATTTAGAAACAGTACTCACAGCTTCCTTGGGTTTTAGTTAATTCCAGTTATCATTGATAACCAAACAGCCATCACATTAGGTAATAAAATATTGTTAGTATTTGAAATGCAGCCAATCTTAAATATGCATTTGTTTTAATGTGTTACTTTGATTGAAATTCATTTTCCTCTAGATATATTTAACCTAGGAATGTATCTGAGCACTCTTGAAGTTGTGTAACATGTATCAATAATAAATAGATTTGCTTCCTGCTGTATAAAGTTTAGGTCAGGAGACAAAGTGTAAGGAGTGTGGGGTCTTTCTCTAATATCTACTCCTACACTAGTGAGCATGGAAGAGAGAGGTCACCAGTGGACTGTCCTCCTGAGACCTCCAGAAAGCCTTCAATTCTAGTTAGAGTTTCTTTTCTAAAATCACAAAGTGGGCAGGCAAGCAAGCAAATTTTTCTGAAGTGTACATGGCAGTAGCAGGTTGCTAAGGGTGACAACCCATTCTTTCAGCGATTTCTCCAGGTTATTCCCTTCCTGGTAGCAAGTGAAGCCATGTTTGGCAAATAGGCAGTAAAGCAGTGTTTTAAGTAAGCCGCTAAATATACCAATAATTCTGTAACTAATAATTGTTCTTTTCTATTTCAGTAGTTAACAAAATGGTCTGCATTGTACATGGAAGGTTCAATAATTTGTTCAAAGTCATGTGGCAAATGACTTTGTCTATCAAAGTAGTGTTGATACTGCCTCTGCTGTAAATAGTGGAATGTTTTGGCTTTTGCTTACATTTTTTATGTTCTTCAGAAAAGACATAATCAGGCGGCTTTCTGCGAAATTGTTATAAACGGTGTATTTCTCTTACTTAGGCCAAAACCACACTAAGAATATTTGAAATAAATAAAGAACGACTTAAAGGAGTAATAACAGATACCTTGAATGAAAATTCTCAACGTCAGGAAAGTGTGCGTCAGGTTTGTAGACTACAGATATTTTTTTAGATATGAATATAGCCTTTGATGTTGTGGGTACTCACATATGAACCATGTGTGGAGTTGTGTAGTGAATGAGTAAGCTTATGAGAACAGAAAGTCTCCCCTGCAGACTCCCATAAAGGATTTAAAAGTGTGTTCTTCCATCTGTCTTCTCCCCTGATAGAAGGCAGTCAGAATTTTTACTCTCACAGGAGACATCGGCTAACAGGATTCCTCACAATAAAGACTGCAGTAAGAGTTAACAGATTACCAATTGGGGTGCTAGAGGAGGGAGGAGTTCTTGGGTAATGTAAAGTGAAATCTTACCTTTTATCCTCACCCTCTTCTCTCCTAGACACTAACCCACAAGTGCTCTCGCTGCTGTTGTCATAAATCTGTTTGTCTTCCCAGGTCCCAGGCCCCTTCCCCTCTGTCTCTTTTCTTCCTTCCTTTCCCTCCCTTGCTGTCTCTCTTTTCCTTCCTTTCTATAGTGTGCATATTGAGATGGGGGTGTTTGTGGGGGTGTGGTGTGAGAGTTTGACTGTGCACAGGTGTGACATGGTGTTTGTCCTTACCTTTACTTTGTTACAGACATACTGTCCTTTTCCTCTTGTGGAAACGCCTTTACTATCTTCCCAAATTACTAGTGTGACATTTTCTTCTTACAGTATTATGGATCTCTGAATAGTAGTCTGTCTGACTTGACTATATATCCTGAGTTGCCCGATGTTTTATTTTACTACTTGGCTTCCTGTAATGGATATTTGTAATCTATCTCAATGGAAATGCCAATCACTCAACTACCTTGGCTAATTTGTTCATTTACAATTCTATTATTGTCATTATTGTTATTTTTTTTGAGAGTGTCTTGTATTGAAATTCAGGGTGACCTGGAACTTACTGAGGTACTCAGTCTCCTAATTGCTGGGTTCAAAGTTATGTGTGTGCCTACTGCCAGATTTTTCCTGTTCTATTTTTTATTTTAATTATGTGCATGTGTGTAACTTGATTGTAGATATGTGCACACAAGTGCAGGTACCTTTGGAGGCCACAAGCATCAGATCCCCAACATGGTCTGTAAGGGGAACCAAATTCAGGTCTCGTGAAATAACCATAGATACTCTTGGACTCCTTCATTTTCTTCTGGGGGCCATTTTTCTTGGAATCTTAGATTCTCCTAGTCCAATAAGAATGTGTAATGAGTGGCAGTGGTGTCACATACCTATTTATCCCAGCACTGTGAACAGAAGCAGGTGGATTTCTGTGACTTTGAGCCCAGCCGGGTCTACAGAATGAGATCCTGGATAGCCAGAGAAACCATGTCTCCAAGAAGGAAAGAAGGGAGAAGGAAGGAAGGAAGGAAGGAAGGAAGAAAGGAAGGAAAGAGAAAGAGCAAAGAAAGAAAAAGAAAAATGTGTTCTATAGATCTACTGGGCATTTTTGTCCTGATACTACAGTTCACTCAGCAGCCAAGGATTCTTGTTTCCTTATCTTAAATGTTCTGTTTCCTGTTTCAAAAGAGAACATTTGTGATTAATTAACTTGTTTATCTTTCAGATAATAAGGTACAGTAGGTAATTTTAAAAGGCAATTGCATAGCTGTAAAGGTCTTATTTTCCATTTTTAAAAAGATTTTATTTCAAAATTAATTATTATTTTTTTAATTTTGTGCATGTTATATTTGTGTGCATTTGTGTTCATGATTAAGGTGCTCTGAAAGGCCAGGGAAGGATGTTGAATCTCCTGTACTTGGAGTTATAAGTGGCTGTGATGAGTCCGATATAGGTGCTGGGAACTGAACTCAGGACCTCTTGGAGAACAGTGCATGGTATTAACCACTGAGAAATTGCTCTAACTCCTTGTTCTCTTTCATGTTTCTGATATTTCGATACTTATTTGCACTTCTTGGTGTTTTGATTCTGCTTTTGTTGTTGTTAGTGTGACAGGGTTTCTCTGTGTAATAGTCTTGGCTGTTCTGGAACTCACTATAATCTCATGCAGGTCTCAAACCAGGAGATCTTTCTGCTGTGCTGCATTTTTTTTTTAAATAAAATTTTGATATTGCTGCATTGTCTTCCCTTTCCATGTTTGGTTTTGAAACTTGAATGATGTGTTGATTATGGGACCTTCTTTGCTTGCTGCCCTTTTTTTCTTCTCGAACATTATCTTTCTGTTGTCTCTGGCTCTCTGAGATTGTGTGATGATGTGTCACATAGGGTTTCATTAATATGTTGGATTCTTACATTCTGGAAACTCTTGAAACTGTGGGTTACTAGAACTATTTATTGTGACAATTTAAATTTTGTTTTTTTTTCCTTTTTATTTAAATTTGAAAAAATGTTGTTTTACATGTCAATCCCAGTTCCCTCATGTTCCCATTCACCCCTATAACCCCCACCAAAACCCACCCTATCCCCTTTCTGCTTCTCAGGGAGGGTAAGGCCTTCTGTGACCAAATAGCAATCCAAGATTGGAGAGACTAACTTTAAAGCCCTTCCATATAATGATATTGACGACTACCTGATTAGTTGAGTGTGTGTGTGTGTGTGTGTGTGTGTGTGTGTGTGTGTGTGTGTTCATTTGTTCACGTGGATACATATGTGTAATTGTGTGTAGTGACTAGAGGCCTTAATAGTGTCAGGGATGGTCCAGTTTATTTTTTTAGAAAGAATCTCTCTAAGTAATTCTGTCTATCCTGGAGCTCCCTATGTAGATCAGGATGACTTTGATCTCACAGAATTCCCCCTGCATCTGCCTCCTGAGCACTGAGGTGAAAGGTGTGCATTGCTGTACTGGACAACATGTCATCTCATTGAGCTGGTTGGCCTTAAATCCAATTAGAAAGTGGTTGCTTACTTTAATAACACTTATGCTACTGTGGTACCATAAGCCACATCTTGCTGCTGGGTTGTTATTTCAGCTTGTGTGCTTCACAGGTAGGTGACATTGATGAATATGTTTGGACTGCTGTATGCATAACACCTTACAGCACTATTGAAGCTTGCCAGTAGGGATGAAACATTCAGCTATATGTATGCATAAAAGAAAAAATGAGATGAGTGGCAGAAAATGTGATGTGTATATGCATGTTTGAGAGAAGACAGGTACAGGGAGGTAATAGGAGAGATATCAGGAGCATGTGTATACATCTGTGTGTTGGTATGTGGGTATATGTTCAGGCATTTGTAGGGACTAGAGGAGGACATTAGATCATTTAGAATTACAGGCACCTGTGAGCTACTCAGTGCAGGTGCAGGGAATTGAGTGTGGGTCCTCTGCAAGAGCAGTATGTGCTTTTAACTACTCTACTGTCTCTCCAGTTCCCTAATTCTTCCCTTTTGGTTTCCATTCCTCCCTCTACTACTACTGCTTTCAATCATGAGCCTCTCTGGATTGTGTCAAGTCATCTTATTTTAGGATTTTCTAACTGGCCTATGTTTCTTTTATTGTCTGTGGATTGTTTGGTCTCACGTGTTCCTTCTGTTTGTCCATTTTCTTTTGGGGTTGATGCCTTCTCCTTTCACATCTTTGTTCTATCATCTCAGGCTTTAGAAAACATTGTGGTGAGGACTCCTGTGTTGATTGTCCTTACTATAATAAAAACTGAGTCATCCTCACTTCAAAGTCCTACCATGTATACACCTGGGAGGCAGAGGCAGGTGTATCTCTGCTGTGAGTTCCAGGCCAGCCTGGTCTACAGAGTAGGTTCTAGGACAGGCTCCAAACAATGCAGAGAAACTCTATTGGGAAAACAAAACAAACAATCAAACAAAAGTAATGAGATGTAGCAGAGTATTTAGGGTACAAAGATAGAAAGAATTGACTAGATTTTTCATACAAGTATGTGTCAAAATCGTGTACTTGATTAAAATTTTCCTTGTAAATGAATTGAAGAATATTTCTTATTTTATAGTCTTCTGCTTTGAAAGTTCTTTATAAAAAGGAACCACATCTGAGTCCCTATTTACGTAGCAACCCTATCTTTTTTTAATATCATTTAATAACACATTTAGTATCTTTTAATGATATTGAAAAAATTCTTCTAAACATTGTGCTATCTTTCACATCGTTGTTATTGTTTTCCTGTCAGTATTTAGAAGAAGCTAAAGTCATGAAAGAACAAATGAATCAACTCAATAAACAGAAAATAGCAATCGAAGTATCCAACGTACAGGCAGAGCAACTCCTAAAGGTTAAGGAAAATCAGATCAAGGTAATGGCTTGTTGGGTTTAGTTCAAATTATTTAGTTCAAATAATTTTAACAGCTTTTATTTGCTATTGTGTCTTTTTGTTACATTTCAAATGCTTCTAGAACATACATAGATTTGTAATATATATGTTAACACTCCATGTCTTTGTTCGCCAGTATTTTAGCCTAGTGTTCATGAATAAAGAAATAAAATAATGATTTTTACCTTTTTGTTATTTTATATAACCAATTCCATTTAAATGAAAACAAACATTAGACAATATTTGGCAATTTGGGCATCATTCCTTCCAAACTACTTCCTGCTGGTAAGGGGCTCTGACAAGGTAATTCCAAGAAGATGCAGAAATCCTGGCTGTAGTCTGTAAGGATGCTTTGTCCAGCTGTTTTGAATGTAGGATCACCTGGTACTCTGTTTCAGGCAGTCTGGCTTTATCAAACCACATTAGTCTGGAAGGAATCCACATCTTTTCATTTTCTGTGGAAACAAAAATAGAAATCCTTTTCCCCAGTAACTTGTCCTTGAGCTTAAATTTTGGAGTCAAAGCATTTTTTTTAATTTAATTTATTATTTTACATGTCCATCCCAGTTCCCTCTCCCTCTCTGCCCTCTCACATGCACTCTATCCACCCTCCCCTCCTATCCTCCCACCCCAATTCCATATGTAGGGGAATGCCATCCAGTTGGGGTCATGTAGATCTGACACGTCATGTGAAGTAGGGACTAGGGATTCTCTCCTGTCTCTAGGTTAAGGCAGTTATCCCTCCATGGGGGATGTGTTCACAAGGTCCTTTTGTGCAACAGGGATACATCCTGGCTCCACTGTCTGAGGTCCCTTAGACTGCTCAGTCCTTCTGGCTGAGAGGCATATTCAGGAGGGCCTGAGTCAGTCCCATGCTGGCTTCCCAGCTATCAGTCTGCTGGCCCATTAGCTCCTTCTTGTTCAGGTAAGCTGTCTCTATGTGTTTCTGCAGCCTGGTCTTGTCCTCTCCATCTGCATCTGGGTTCTACTTCGACTCAGTGTTTATGTATGGGTGTTTGCTCCTGTTTCCATCAGGCACAAGTTTAGTACTACATGGATAAGTTTGTTGTTGATCTCACTCTTCGGGAAGGGCATTTATGATAGCCTTTCCACAGAAGCTCAGATTGTTAGTTGGCAGCAGTCTTGTAGCTCTCTAGACCTTTCTTTGTGTTCAATTTAACTTCAAACCATTATTGGCTCCATCTTTTATGTTCTCTCTCTCTCTCTCTCTCTCTCTCTCTCTCTCTCTCTCTCTCTCTCTCTCTCTCATCTTCTACTCCTAACCGGGCTCAATCTTCCTGGTCGCGCATGTTTTCCTTTACTCCCTCTTGTTTTCTCCTACTTCTCTCTCCATTTGCTGCCCCCCCCCACTTCAACTGAGCTCTGGGGGACTTGTCCCTTCCCAGTTCTGTGAGGGACTTTATATGAATCTCTTAGAATACACCTTCTATCCTAGTTCCTCTGGTGGTGTGAATTATAGGCTGGTGATCCTTTGATCTAGGTCTAAAATCCACATATGGGTGAGTACATACTGTGTTCCTCTTTTTGTGACTGGGTTACCTCATTCAGGATGGTTTCTTCAAGTGCCATCCACTTGCCTGCGAATTTCAAGATACCATTATTTTTTTCTGCAGAGTAGTATTCCATTGTGTAGATGTGCCACATCTTCATTAACCATTCTTCAATTGAGGGGCATCTAGGCTGCTTCCAGGTTTTTGCTATTACAAATAGTGCTGCCGTGAACATAGTTGAACAGATGTCTTTTTTGTGTGGATGTGGATCATATGGGTATATGCCCAAGAGGGGGATTGCCGGGTCCTGTTGTAAACTAATTCCCATTTTCCTGAGGAACCGCCATACTGATCTCCAAAATGGCTGTATGAGTTTGCGTTCCCACCAGCAGTGGAGGAGTGTTCCCATTTCTCCACATCCTCTCCAACATGAGTCACCATTGGTGTTTCTAATTTATCCATTGTGGCAGGAGTAAGATGGTATGTCAAAGATGTTTTGATTTGCATTTCCCTGATAGCTAAGGATGTGGAGCATTTTCTTAAGTGTCTTTCAGCCTTTTTGATTTCCTGTGTTGAGAATTCTTTCTTCATTCTGTAACCCATTTTTTAATAGGGTTATTTGGTGTTATGTTGACTAGTTTCATGAGTTCTAAAATTTGCCCTTTGTCGGATACAGGATTGGTGAAAAATCTTTTCCCAGTCTGTGGGCTGCCATTTGGTCTTGTCCACTGTGTCCTTTGCCTTACATAAGCTTTTAAGTTTGAAGAGGTCCCTTATTAATTGTTTTTCTCAGGGTCTGTGCCAATGGAGTTATTTTCAAGGGTACCTCCTACTTTCTCTTCTAAGAGGTTCAGTGTGGCTGGATTGAGGTGTTTGATCGATTTGGGCTTGAGTTTTGTGACAGACATGGGTCTATCTGCAGTCTTCTACACACCCTCATCCAATTGTGCCAGCACCATTTGTTGAAAATGCTGTCTGCACCCCATTGTATAATTTTAGCTGTTTTGTTGAAAATCAGGTGTTCATTAGGTGTGTGGGTTAATATCAGGATTTTCAATTCCATTCCATTGATCTGCCTGTCTATTTTTATGCCAATACCAGGCTGTTGTCAGAACTATAGCTCTGTAGTAGATTTAAAAATCAGGAATGGTGATGCCTCCTGAAGTTCTTATATTGTTTATGGTTGTTTAGGCTATCCTGGGTCTTTTGTTTTTCTATATAAAGTTGATTATTATCATTTCAAGGTCAGTGAAGAATTGTGGGGGGATATTAATGGGGATTGCATTGAATCTGTAGATTGCTTTTGGTAAGATTGCCATTTTTACTATGTTTATCCTACCTGTTCAAGAGCATGGGAGATCTTTCAATTTTCTGGTGTCTTTCTTAATTTCTTTCTTTAGAGCCACAATGTTCTTGTTATATAGGTCTTTTATTTGTTTGGTAAGCATTACACCAAGATTCTTTATGTTGCTTGAGGCTATTGTAAAGGGTGATGCTTCTCAATTTCTTTCTCTGTCTCTTTGTCGTCTGAAAAAAGTAGGGCTATTGTTATTTTTTTGAGTTTATCTTGTATACTGCTAATTTTCTGAAGGTGTTTATCAGCTGTAGGAGTTCCCTGGTAGAGTGTATTGGGTTGCTTATATAAACTATCATATCATCTGCAAATCGAGACAGTTTGAGTTCTTCCTTTTCAAATTGGATCACGTTGATCTGCTTTTGTTGTCTTATAGCATTAGCTAGATCATCTAGTACGATATTGAAGAGATATGGAGAGAGAGGGCAGCTTTGTCTTGTTCTTGATTTTATAGGAATTGGCTTAAGTTTCTCTCCATTCAGTTTGATGTTGGCAGTTGGTTTGCTGTATATGGTTCTTATTATGTTTAGGTATGTTCCTATTATCCCTGACCTCTCCAAGACCTTTATCATGAAAGGGTGTTGAATTTTGTAGAAAGAGTTTTCAGCATCTAGGGAGATAATCATATGGTTTTTCTTTTTCTGTTTGTTTATATGGTGGATCACCTTGATAGATTTTTGTGTGATAAACCATCCTGCATTCCAGGGGTGAAGCCTACTTGGTCATGGAGTATGATTTCTCTGATGTATTCTTGAATTCAGTTTGCCAGTATTTTATTGAGTATTTTTGCATCGATATTCATCAGGGATATTGGTCTATAGTTTTCTTTCTTAGTTGTGTCTTTGTGAGGCTTGGGTACCAAGGTTATTGTGGCCTCATAAACAGAGTTTGGCAATGAACCTTCTGTTTCTATTTTGTGGAATAGTTTGAGGAGTAGTGGTATTAGTTCTTCCTTTAGTGTTTGGTAGAATTCTGCACTGAATCCATATGGCTCTGGACTTTTTTGGTTGGAAGGCTTTCGATGACTGCTTCTATTTCTTTGCAGGTTTTAGGTCTATTTAAGTTGTTTTTCTGTTCTTAATTTAATTTGGTAAGTTATAATTATCCAGAAATTTGTCCATTTCCTTTGAATTTCAATTTTTGTGGAATGCAGATTTTCAAAGTATGACCTGAAAATTGTCTGCATTTCCTCTGTTGTTATATTCCCCTTTTCGTTTCTGATTTTGTTAATTTGCATATTCTCTCTCTGCTTTTTCGTTAATTTGGATAAAGGTTTGTCTATCTTGTTGATTTTCTCAGAAAACCAATTCTTCGTTGCATTGATTTTTTTTGTATTGTTTTCCTGGTTTCTATTTTGTTGATTTCAGCCATCAAGTTGATTATTTCCTGGCATCTACTTCTACGGGTGAGTTCACTTCTCTCTGTTCTAAGGCTTACAGTTGCGCTGTTAATTCTCTTATGTGACTATCCTCTGTTTTCTTCATATGGGCACTTAGTGCAATGAACATCCCTCGTAGCAATGCTTTCAAGGTGTCCCATAAGTTCGGGCATATTGTGTCCTCATTCTCGTTGAATATCAGAAAGTCCTTAATTTTTTTGTTTATTTCCTCTTTGACCTAGGAGTGGTACAATTGCACATTGTTCAGTTTCCTTGAGTTTGCAGGTTTTCTGCTATTTGTGTTGTTGTTGAATTCCAATTTTAAAGCATGGTGGTCTGATAAGATACAGGGGACTATTCCTATTCTCTTGTATCTGTTGAGGTTTGTTATGTCACCTAGTATGTGGTTGATTTTAGAGAAGGTTCTATGTGGAGCAGAGAAGAAAGTATATTCTTTTTTCTTTGGATGGAATGTTCTATAGATGTCTGTTAATCCCAGTTGAGACATAACTTCTGTTAGTTCTTTTGTTTCTGTGTTGAGTTTCTGATTGGTGGTCCTGTCTAGTGTTGAGAGTGGTATATTGAAGTCTCCCACTAAAAGTGTGTGAGGTGTTATATGAACTTGGAGTTTTAGTAGCGTTTCTTTTTCAAATGTTGGTGCCTTTGTATTATGGGCATAGATGTTCAGAACTGAGACTTTGTGTTGATGGATTTCCCCTACGATGAAAACGAAATGACCATCTTCATCTTGTTTGATTAATTTTGGTTTGAAGTCTAACTTGTTAGATATTAGGATAGCTATGCTTGCTTGCTTCTTGGTTCCATTTGATTGGAATATCTTTTCCCAACCCTTTACCCTGAGGTAATGTCTATCTTTGGAGCTAAGATGTGTTTCTTGTATGCAGCAGAAGGATGGATTCTGTCTTCGTATCAATTCTGTTAGCCTGTGTCTTTTTATTGGTGCGTTAAGGACATTAATATTGAGCGTGAGTAAGGACCATTGATTGTTGATGCTTGCTCGATTTAGGTTTGTTGTTGGCAGTGGTATTTTGAATATATTAGTTCTTCTTTACCCTTGGTTTCTGGTGTAGTTGGATTATCTGTTGTCTACATTTTTGTGGGCGTAGTTACCTTCTTTGGGTTGGAGTTTACCTTCCAATAATTTCTGTACGGCTGGATTTGTAGATAAGTTTTGGGAAAATCTGGTTTTGTCATTAAATATCTTGTTTTCTCCATCTATAGTGATTGAGAGTTTTGCTGGATATAGTAGCCAAGACTGGCATTCATGTTCTCTTTATATTTAAGAACATCTTTCTAGGATCTTCTGGCCTTGAGGGTTTCCATGGAGAAGTCAGGTGTAATTTTGATAGGTCTGCCTTTATATGTTACCTGTCCTTTTTCCTTCACTGCGCTTAATTTTCTTTATTCTTTATGCTAGGTGTTTTGATTATTATATGTGGAGGGGTCTTTTTTTTTTTTTGGTCCAGCCTATTTGGGGTTCGGTATGCTTCTTGTACTTTCATGGGCATGTCCTTCTTCAGATTTGGAAAGTTTTCCTCGATGATTTTGTTGAATATGCTTTCACCAACTTGAGCTGGGCTTCCTCACCTTACTCTATGCCTATTATTCTTAGGTTTGGCCTTTTCACGGTGTCCAACATTTCCTGTATGTTTTTTGTTAAGGATTTGTTGGATTTATGATTTTCTTTGGTCGATGAATCTATTTCTTCTAGTTTATCTTCTGTACCTGAGATTCTCTCTTCGATCTCTTGAATTCTATTGGTTATGCTTGTGCCTGTAGTTCCCGATTTTTTGCCCAGTTTTTCTATTTCCAGCATTCCTTCAGTTTGTGTTGCCTTTATTTTCTCTATTTTAGTTTTTGGTCTTGAACCATTTCATTTACCTGCTTAATTTTTTATTTATTTATTTATTTTTTTTTTGGTGGCTTTCAGTACTTTCTTTGCTTTCCTTAAGGAATTTGTTCATTTCTTCCACTTTTTGTTTGTTTTTTTCCTCCATTTCCTTAAGGGATTTTTCTCACATCTTCTTTGAGGGCCTCTATCATTTTTATGACAGAAATTTTTAAGTCGTTCCCTTCTGCTTCCTCTGCTTTGTTGTTGTGTTCCATTCTAGTTGGTGTAGATTCCTTAGATTCTGGTGGTTTCATGCTTGTCTTTCTGTTGTTAGGTGTTTTCTTGTATTGCCGTCTTCTCATAGCTTCTTCCAGTAGGTGTTGATGGGGTCTCCCCCTCTCTCTATGATACTTCCCCAGTGGGATTTTGTGGTCAGTGAGTCAATATCTATATCTCTGGGTAGTCCAAGCTCTATAGGAGGTCTCTCCACAGACAGGGACCCAGGGATGGGGTCAGGGCTGAGGATAATGTAGAAGATGCCACTAGCCAATGGCTCTAGTCAATGGCTGGGGGAGGAGGACAGAGGCTGAGCTGAAACTTGGCAAGTTTCTGCATGATAGTCTGATCTCACTGGAAACTGGGACTCTCCAGCTGAGGCCTCTTTCTTTAGTAGAGGCCCTGCTTTAGGGGTCAAGGATCTTGCTGGCGGCAGGAACTCAGAGTGGACTCTCAGATATAGGCGGATTTCACAAAAAAAAAAAAAAAAAAAAAAAAAAAAAAAAAGAATATCAACAGCAGCAGAAAAATCAGTTGATGGTCTTCCAGTACTCCTTCAAAATATTTTACAACGTGTCTTTGTTTGTCTCAGTTGGACTCTCCAGCTAGTTACTTCCTTGTATAAATCAAGAATCTGTATTTTAGTTTTTTGTGGGTATAATCATGTGAGTTTTTTGGCCCTCAGAAACCAGAAAGGTTGTAGTCCCTGCAGCTGAGGTTACAGGGAGTTGAGAAATGCTAGATATGGGTAGTGAGATTGAATTTGGGCCTTTGTCAAGATAATATCTGCTCTTAACAGCTGAGCCATCTCTCCAGCCAGAGATGTTAATTTTTTAGTTGGTGTGTATTTGTATGTGCCCATGTATAGGAATGTGCATCTGAGTGCAGTGCCCAAGATGTCTATGATGTTTTCATAGATTTGTATGAATCTTTTTTATAGCTTTTGTATGTCTCGGAGATAGATGAAACACCACACAACATATCCCACTCCATATGTTATTGGCCACTGCATGCTTCCCACAGAGGCCAGAAGAGACCACTGAATATCCTGGAGCTGGAGTTACAAGTTACCCATCTGATGTGGGTGCTGGGAAAAGAGCTTAGATGCTTTAGTAGAGTAACAAGTCCCAAACTGCTCAGCTATCTCTCAAGTCCAACTGTAAATTAGTAAAAAATATAAAGAATGTCAAAAGAAAGTATTTTAGGGAGTGGGGAGATGGTTTAGTGGGTTAGTGCACTTGGTCTGCAAACATAAGGTCTTGAGTTTGAATTCTAAGCACCCACATAAGAAGATCATGGCTGCACATGCCTGAGAGTCCCGCACAGGGGACAGAGACAGTGGAGATTAGAGCCTGTTGAGCAGCCATGCTTTTGAGATAGTGGAGTTCTTATTCCATGAGAGGTCCTGTCTCCAGGCAGTAAGGTAGAGTATGATGGAAGAAGACACTTGCATCTTCTTGCCTCATGCTCTTGCAGCTGTATGTGCACCTGCATACTCATGTGTGTATGATACGCACAAAAGAAAATATTTTATTGCTTTGTAGTTAACAAGAATGAACCATTATAAAACACTGTATTTGATTTTGTTTTCTCTTCTTTCTTTTCCTTTTTCTCTTCATCCTTCATTCCTTCCTTCCCTCACTACCTCCCCTTCCTCCATCCCTCCTTTCCATAATATCCATAATATTTATTTTTGCATACAGTGTTTCAAGAGGTAGTGTTTTCTTACCAGAACTCACTTTATTATATCAGGCTGGCTCCCATCTCACATAGATCTGCCTGCCTATTCCTTCTGAGTGGTGGGGTAAAAGATGTACCATGTTCAGCAAGTTAGTTTTTCAGGATTAATAGTCCCTAAATGTGGAGTTAGAAGATAAAACCAACTGTTTACATATCTCAATTGCAGAGAGATACTTAGGGTACAAAAGGATTTATTTATGGGGATTGATTTAAAAAATTATAATATTTAAAAATTTACTTGTGTATGTATGTGTCAGGTATGTGCATTCCATGATGTGGGTATGGAGTTCAGAAGACAAATTTTGGGAGGCAATTTTCCTACCATGTGGGTTCTGGGGATTAAACTCAGATTATCAGTCTAAGTGGCAGATGCTTTTACCTGCCGAGCCATCTCATTGGCTCAGGATTGAATTTCAGATGAGTTAAGTTCTAAATTGTAAAGCTATTATCATGAGTCATTACCTTCTCTTTTTGTTTTCTCTTTTTACTCAATATCCAGTCTCTGATGGAGAGCCTGCTAAGGATGAAAGACTGGAATTCTGTGCTTGGGGAAGATGTAACTGATGATGGTAATCTGGATGTAGAAGTGAACAATGACTTAGAGAATAACGTGCACTGACTTGTGGCGACTGGCTCCTTGTTTCCTCTTCATTCCACATGTGTATCGAGCTCCTCATATACTTAGACTTGGCACATTTTGTCTATCTTCATGAAATACCACGCTCCCTTTCCACCTTATTTAGCTAGTCTTTTGTGTAAATATTTCTTTACCTCTTCAGAGTTGTAGACTTCTTCTCTTTTGTTCTTCTCTATAGCCTATATTTCTTCATTATAACAACACAGCTCTTAAGTTCCATAACAAAAGGGGAACTATAGTAAGGTATAGTAATATAAAATATTTGTATTTTTCATTTTTATTTTATAATAGAAGAAACATAAATTCTATTTATGTTTAATAGTACTTAACTGGAGCCATGGTTCATTAATAATTTTAGTGTTGAAGCCACGGTTGACTAATTAACCTGGATGCTGTAATGCCATAAGAATCTAAGCATAGTTAAGTCCATGGACACTGTTTAGGTAAATATTCAGTTCTTGTTGGGTCTCTGTAGTACACTGTCTATCTTCCTGAGTGTAGATCACTCTACCTTATATAAATTATTATTTTATTTTAATTACTCTTTTTACTGAGACAACATCTTGCTGTAGGTCAAGCTGGCCTGGAATTCACCTTGGAGTCCAGGCTGGCCTTATCCTCATGGGAATCCCCTTGTCTTAGCTGTGAAATGTTGGAATTAGAGTCAAGAGCAAGTAAGCTCAGCCTCAAATTATTTAATTTTGGCCAGAAGAGGGGTTGCAAGACTAGATAAAGAACTAATGTATTCATTTGGATGTGTTCACTAAGTATGGTTTTATTTTTCACTGTAGGTAATCAGCCTAAGGGAGCTTTGAGGAAGCTAATATATGCTACTGAGGTTTGTATTAGTATGTAAAAATCTAGATGAGAAGGAGCAGGACCTACAGCAGACATGAAATCTGTGTGTCCTTAGTAACTAATTTAAAGATTGCTTTAATTTTTTTTGTATAAGGTTATATGATAAATGATGAGAATTTTCTTTTTCTTTTGATGTATTAATTTTCTGTGCATTGGTGGTTTGCCAGCATGCTTGTTTTTATGAGGGTTTGAGATTCCCTGGAACTGGAGCTACAGACAGTCGTGAGCTGCCATGTGCGTGTAGAGACTTAAATTCAGGTCCACTGGAAGAGCAGCCACTGTACTATCTCTCCAGCCCCTAGGATTTCCTTATCAATTTCTTTTTTTATATCAACTTTAGAAATTTTTATAATTATAGTATTTAGAAATGTTCAAATTGTACACTCATTTCTTCCATTAAAGATATCTTCAGAATATTATTGTTTTATTTAATCATTCCCCATGTGCATTCTTTTCTTCTGGTTCCAATGGTTCTATATACTCTTTTGAGAAATAAATAATAGCTGTGTTTTCTTCTGGTTTATTCCCTCTGTCAGTTCTTAGTTAATCTGTGTAAAAAGTCCTGATTGTATAGGGTGAAGGCTGCTTTGGCAGCTGCACTGATGTCTTTATGTTGTCCATGATAACATCATCACGGGGAAAATAACTGCAGAACAGTAGTATGGGGTATATTGGGGATGTGTGTTTCTTTTGTGTAATTGATAATTGCTTTTCTTCTTCTTTTCCTTCTTTGAAGTTAAGTGCTTCGTTAAAAACCCTAGAAGGAGACAGAAACCAAATTTATACTCAGTTATCTGAAATAGATGCAACAAATGATGATCTTACAGGTAAGGGTTCTTGACGAGCACGTCTCCTTAAAGAGAATGAATTACTTCTGAGTTTTACTGTCAGTGGTAAATGTATTCCATTATCTCTTATATTTATGTAAATTATTAAAAGTATGTAAGAATGTGGAGTATGGTGCATCTTTGTTAGGGTTTCTATTGCTATGTAGAGACACCTTGACCATGGCAACTCTTATAAGGAAGACATTCATTGGATCTGGCTTATAGTTCAGAGTTCTAGGGCCTGCAAATTATAAGTATACCATAAAGTAGTATTCCATAGTAATTGCACTGCAGAAGATCACACAGGCAGACATGGTGCTGGGGAAAGATCCAGGAGTTCTATATCTAGATCTGCAGGCAGCAGGAAGAGTGCCCCTGGGTCAGTCTTGAGCATCTGAAACCTCAAAGCTCACCCTCAGTGACAACTTCCTCCAACAAAGCAATACTTCCTAATAGTGTCACATCCTCTGAGCCTAGGGTGACATTTTCACTCAAGCCACCACAAGGAGTACAATGTTGGATATAGTTTTAGATGTTAAAAAGTTTTAAATTTAATTTTTTCCTTACATTTTTTAAAATTGAGAAAGTGATCTTCAGGACTTGAGCTTGTAATGTCTACTATTTTAATATATTCATATAATTTATTAGCATACACAAGAGTGGCTTTACACCTGTAAAAATATATTTTTTTATGGAAAGCATTAAAAAAGTTTGCTGATTTTGTTCACATTGAAAAATAGTTTTTGTCAGTTGTGTTTGTGCTGTAAAAGGTATATCACATCTCACTGTGTTAATGAAATAAATTCATATTTTTATATCTGAAAAGAATGGATGGACATATTCAAATGTCTGTGCTGGTTAACTCAGAATGGAACCACAGGCATCTTTTTTTTTTTTTTTTTTTTCTCCTCATCTATATTTTCTTTTCAAAACAGGCTTTATTGATCCTGTTACACTTGCTTAAATGATGCAACATAAGACAAAAACTTCTGCTTGTAGAGCTTCATTTTTACCTGCCTGATGCTTTTCCTGCCTGTTTCTAACTCTACACCTATGATCACAGGCAAAGCCCCTTCACTGATTACACAGCTGAATATAAACCTACCAGAAATCAACATCAACAAAATAATCCTCTCAATGAATACAAGAAACGTCAATATGTAGTCAACCATTGCCACGGCTGCCCAGAACTTCACATTTCTTCCTTTTCATTCTTAACTTATTCTGTCTTCCAAACGATAGCCAGAACCATTTGAATCTGGACCTATGCTCTATACCAGACTTCATCGTTGTGAGGCCAGCTTCAGTGTACTTTATCTTCTTTATAACCTTCAAGACCAGGGTTGAGATCTGATGAGAAAAAGACCAAAAGGGTCTCAAAGGCCTTTAAGACTTTTAATGAGCAAAATGCTTAAAAAAGATTGAACCATTGGATTAAATTGCCCTACTCACTGATTATACTAATTGTATTGTTATTAGACCTGAAAAAACATTAGTCTAATTAAAAAAATGCTGCTATCTGAGAATAGTAGTAACAGTGTGGAAGATACAGAGAGGAATAGGCACTCTGTTTTCAAGGCAGCTTTATCGAGGCATACATTAACGTACATGTATCTTAGTAGGAAGTACCAGTGTAGCAAGCAATTAGTTCACCAGTTATTCCATTGTTTACTCCTTCTCTTGGCCAGTCTTAATCCCCCCCCCACCAAATAATATGGGAAACTCTTGTGTGTGTAGAGCGTTCCTCCAAATCCACCTTTTCTTTTTCCATGGTGTTTTAAAAAATTATTTAATGTTTTTTATTTATTTACTTTATTGGGAGTTTGCTCACATATATGTCGGTGTGAGAGTGTCAGATCCTCTGGAACTGGAGTTACAGACAGTTTTGAGCTGCCCTGTGGGTGATCGGAATTGAGCCAAGGTTCTCTGGAAGAGCATTCATTGCTCTTAACTGCTGAGCCATGTCTCCAGCCCCAACATTCTTTCCTTAATGCGTCATAAAATTTTTCAATAATTAATTTTTAACATATGGGAGCATTTTTCTCTAACCATCTCTCATCTCCCATAGATTCTGGCCTTTTTGGTAATTTATAGTGTCCTTCCTTTAAATGCATGTTTCTATGTAACCCCAGGCTTCTTGAAGTCCTCACATTTCTACCTCAGCTTCTCACATGTCTGCTTTATATAGGCTTAAAATTACTGCACCTGGCCTGTACAGTGCCCTATTATAGTGTCTGGGTTCAGTGCATAAAAGCCCCTTCTTCTGAGCCTGATGGTCTGAATTCAGTCTCCAGTGGAAGGAGAGAACAGACCCCTGCTAGTTGTCCTCTGACCTTTGCCCACCTGGGCATGCAGGCTGAGGTGAACACACACACACACACACACACACACACACACACACACACACACACACCCCCGTTTTTTGAATTGAGCTATACTTTTTCCCAGTCCCCTTCCTTCTGAGCCCCTGCCCTCCACGTCTCCCAAACACTTAGTTTTAAAAGTTTTAAAATGAGATAAAGTAAGACACTAGAAAAAAGAGCTTGAGTGTATAATGGTAAAATAATCTGTGTTGTTTTTTAAGGCTTCTTTGCATTAGTATGATTCAATTATATTACAGCTTGTATTGACCATTGATTTCTTGATAAGTGACTTGTTAGATCTGGCAGACAGCATGGATGGGCATTTTTTTTTCTGATATAACTTTACAATTTTTGCAGAAGTCAACTATTCATGATTTCCTGTACACGTTCCCTTTGCTATTACTGTATCGACACAAACTTTTCTTTTGGTCCATATGTTTATTTAGCTTGCATTTTAGAATAATAACATCCCATTGCACATAGTTACTAAACTTTTCCTTGTTATGATTTTGAAACGGCCCTTTTGAAGTATAGTGCATTTTTTTCTTGTATTCGATTGGTTCACATATGTTTTGGGAATGATACCTTAGAGCAGGTCAGAGTTGAGGTTCTCATTTTAATATTAGAGCTGTGTAGAGTTGTATTAATCATAATGAAAGAAAAAATGAGATATGTAAAAATAATGGTATGCTAGTTCATACAGAATTCACAATCACTTATAATTGTTAATCCATTTTGTGTGTGTCTGTATTCATATGTATATAGAGGACAAAGGTAGATATTCAGGCTTTCCTTCAATTGCTTTCCCCCTTATTCATTGAGAAAGCTGTCATTAAACCTGGATTGTGCTGCTCAGTAAGCCCTAGGGATCTTGTTTTTTCCCTTTTCAGCACTCAGACAGGTCTTATATGGGTGCTCATGACCCAAACTTTGGTCCTCATGTTTGTTTAGCCAGTACCTTACTGACTGAGCTATCTCCCCAATTTTGTGGGTGATTCAGTAGTATAGCAGTTGAAATAATGTAAAAGTCATTATTCTTTCCAGTCTTCATTTTGTTTGAGTCTTGGTCTCTCAGGAAACTGGAAATGAACACTTATTATCAGCTAGTTTGAATGACAGCACATGAACAATTTAGACTGAAAAAAAGACTGATTTATTATGGTATTAGTAACTGAACTGTTGTGTATAGTAATTGTCTATAGCTGTATGTCCCTGGGCATGTCCAATCTTGTCAATTATCTTTTTTTCTCTTAAGATTTATTTATTTATTATGTATACAATTTTCTGACTGGATGCACACCTGCAAGCCAGATGAGGGCACCAGACCCCATTACAGATTGTGTGAGCCACCATGTAGTTTCTGAGATCTGAACTCAGGACCTTTGGAAAAACAAACACTCCCCTTACCATCTCTAGCCACTAAATTTTAAGACATATTTTTAATTGTATATTGTCTGAGTGATTCCATATACATTTAAAAAAACCCTAGGCATGTGATTAAGGATTTTTGTTTTCAAGATAGGCTTCTCTGTGTATCTTTATAAAGTAGGTGGGTTTTGAAGTCACAGTGATCTGACCAACTTTGTGTATCGTTAATATTTTTAATATGTTTTTAATTGTATGAAATTCCTTTAATTTCTTTATTAAGAACTGAAGAATTTCTTTAATTCCTTTAGTTTCTTTATGATTTTGTACCTTTGTCTAGAGCATATGCGAAGTCTCAAGTCTGAACAAGTGTCTTTGCAGTCAGGTAATACACAACTTGAAATCGAGAAACAGAAGCTTCAAAGGAAAATCACAGTGATGAGGGAGCTGTACCAAGACAATGAAAGGATGCTTCACAGGTGAGAGGTGTTTGGTAACTCCAGTGAATGGCAAGTGAAATGTCTTTAAATGCATGTTATGTATTAGAGGCTTTACACATTGATTATTGGATGTTATCAATTACATAGAATCATTCATGTTGTTTCTTTTTTTTTTTTTTAATTTGGTGTTTGTTTGTGTTTTCAAGACAGGATTTGTCTGTGTAGCTTTGCAGCCTATCCTGGAACTCACTCTGTAGACCAGGCTGGCCTTGAACTAAGAGAGATCCACCTGCCTTTGCTTCCTGACTGCTAGTTTTAAAGGAGTGCCCTACATCACCTGGCTACATCATTCATTTTTAAGAATGTTATTTTGTCTTGGACGATTTTCTTCATGAACAAAATGTAAATATGTTGGAATTCCCAAGCTACCTTTCTCAGTATCTGGTAACATTTATCAGATTATTGCCTTAAACTCATGCTGACATACAGGGTCCAGGAATCTGAGCGGTGTCTTTGGATGGAACTTCCTATTGTATATAAAACTGACTCCTTTCTTCTGCGCAAGTTAGTCTTGCTTAATATTCTTTGATGTAGTTACTAAATGGCAGTATCATTGTATTTGTGAACAGGGCAGCTGCTAGTCATCCTTCAGTGCCCCTTTTGTGTCCCATATTTGTTTGTCTTATCATCAAATTCTGTCAAATTTCTTAACCTTTAATCTGATGGCTTTTTATCATCTACCAATACTCTGGTTAAAGCCATCATTAGCAGTAGTTGGTTCATTACAGTAGCCCTATGAATGTCTTTATATCTTCCTACACTGTCTTTTCTCTGTAAACTCAGAATAACTCCTAAAACATAAATTGTGCATACTGTCACAGTCTTTCCTGCACCCCCCCTCAAATGTTTTAAACAGACTTAAAACAAGATTCTCAGAACCAAGTTTACCATACCCACCTTGTGAGAAGCTATAGACTATTCTATGTCTCTTTTCTTTGTTGCTATCTATTGCCATTGGCTTTCTTCATTTTTGGTGTGCCCAGCACATCTGTATGGTAAGGTCTTTCATCTTTCAAGCTTTTTCTTTCCTTCTTTTTATTTTTTTCACTATGTGGTGTTCTATGTGCTTGCATTTTTGAATCTTTGTTTCATTCAGATGTGGGGTCCCGCTGTCATCTTAAAGAAGGCTTTCTCGGTACCCTAACTAAACCAATATCTCTTATTTTGTTCCGTTATTTCTCGTCACATCTTGTTTTGTTCTCTAAACGTCCTCCGCTTCACATTAATTTAAACTCTGTAAGAAGTATGGTATTTTTATTTATATTCCCAGTGCCTAAACTGAAAGGAAAATAGTGGGTTTCCAATCAATATTTGTGCTCAATCAATTCTTCAATATCCTTGAAAGGATAATAATCAACTTTATACAGAAAAAGAAATAAAATCAGGATAGCTAAAACAATCCTGTACAATAAAGAAACTCCAGGAGGCATCACCATCCTCAACTTTAAGCTCTACAACAGACCTATAGTCCTGAAAACAGCCTGGTATTGGCACAAAAACAGACAAGGTCACCAATGAAATTAAATCAAATATTCTGCCATTAACCCACACAGCTACGGACACCTGATTTAGGACAAAACAGCTGAAAGTATATACCGTGAGGAGGAAAACATCTTCAACAAATGGTGCTGGCACAACTGGATGATGGTGGGTAAAAGACTGCAGATAGACCCATGTCTATCGCCATCCACAAAACTCAAGTCCAAGTGGATCAAAGACCTCATCATATGTCCTTCCACACTGAAACTCGTAGAACCTCATAGAAGAGAAAGTGGGAAGTACCCTTGAACAAACTGGTACAGAAGACTGCTTCCTGAACATAACTCTAGTAGCACAGACACTGAGATGTACAATTAATAAATGGGACCTCCCCAACTGAGAAGCTTCTATAAGGCAAAGGACACAGTTGACAAGACCAAACGGCAGCCCACAGAATGGGAAAATATCTTCACCGATCCTACATCTGACAGAGGGCTGATCTCCAAAATATACAAAGAACTCAAGAAACTAGTCAACAAAATACCAAATAACCCTATTAAAAATGGGGTCCAGACCTTAATAGAGAACTCTCAATAGAGGAAATTTAAAAGGCTGAAGGGCACTAAAGAATGTACTCACAGTCCTTAGCTATCAGGGAAATGCAAATAAAGGAACTTCGAGATACCATCTTACTGCTGCCAGATTGGCTAAAATTAGAAACACCAAGAACAACTTATGCTGGACAGGATGTGGAGAAAGGGGAACACTCCTCCACTGTTGGTGAGAGTGCAAAGTTGTACAGTTATTTTGGAGATCATTAAGGCGGTTCCTCAGGAAAATGGGAATCAGTCTACCACAGGCCCCGGCAATCGCCATCTTAGGCATATACCCAACTGATCCACATCCATGCAACACAGATTTCTGTTCTACTATGTTCATGGAAGCATGGTTTGTAATCACAAGAATCTGGAAGCAACCAACATGCCCTTCAACTGAAGAATGGATAAAGAAGATATAGCACATTTACACAATGGAATACTACTCTGCCGGAAAAGAAAAGAATAGAATCTTGAAATTTGCAGTAAAGTGAATGGACCTTCAAGAAACTATCCTGAATGAGGTAACCCAGTCACAAAAAGAATAAAATTGTATGTACTCAATCATATATGTATTTTAGACTGAGCAAAGGATCACCAGCCTATAATTAACACTGCCAAAGAAATTAAGATGCAAAGAGGATTCTAAGAGATTCATATAAGTTCCCTCACAGAAGGGGAAAGGGACAAGATCTCCTGAGCATATGGGGAGTGGTGGGGCAGTGAGTGGAGAGGGAGCTAGGAGGAAGAGAAGGGGAGGAGAGGAAAGCATGTGGGCCTAGGAAGATTGAGTCAGGGGAGGAATAGATGAGAAGAGAGAGGGAACATAATAGAGGGAGCAATTATATGTTTGAAGAGAAAAATGAACCTAGAGAAATATCCAGAGACCTTCAAGTCTCACTGCAAGTAACAATTTGAGCAACAGTGGAAGGGCTACCATAAATGCCCTTCCCTGATAATGAGATTGAGGACTGTCTTATCCACCATCATAGAGCTATCATCTAGCAGCAGATGGAAACAGAAGCAGACACCCACAAGTAACCACTGAGCAAAACAGGAATTCAGAAGCAGAGAGAGAGGACAAGACCAGGCTACAAATATACATTGAGACAGCCAACCTGAAAAAAGGAGGAGCTACTAGGCCCCCAGACTGATAGCTGGGATTCCAGCATTGGACTGACTCAGACTCCCTAAACATGGGTCTCTGCCGGAAGGCCTGGGAAGTCTAAGGGACCTTGACAGTGGAAACAGGATATGTACCTGGTGCACAAAAGGACTTTGGGTGCACATCCCCCATGGAGGGATACTCCCTTAACCTAGAGACAGGAGAGAAGGCCTAGTCCCTACTCCAAATGATGTGTCAGATTTAGATGACCCCTCCTGGAAGACATCACCCTACATGTGGAGTGGGGGGTGGGAGAGGAGTGTGGTCGGGGGCATGGGGGTATGAACAGAGGGAAACAGGGAGGGAGGAAGGGGGAACTGGGATTAATATGTAAAATGAAAATAAATAAATAAAATTGTACTCAGTGTATTTAAATATTGATGGCAATATGAGACATTGCCCTGACATGTCCAGATAAGGCAGAGAAAAAGACCCTTGTGATACCAATCTTGCAATTGCAGATTTCCTAATAAGAATTATAGTTTAGAGTTTTCATTATAAAACCAAGCACACTTTGACTTTTATTGCCCTTTGGAAGTCCCTTGTCTGTCCTATTCCTTCATACATTAAGTGTGCATGTATTTATGTATGTGTGTGTGCGATGTAAAGTCCATTGTTAAATTTGTTTGTAACCTTAAAGCCTGTTTTTTTTTCCCCAGATATTTGCTGGCCTTTGATTTGTAAACTGAGAATGATGAAGATTCTGAGAGGCCCAGTGTGAGAACTCCTGGTTGAGGGCTAACACAGCAATTTCTTTCAGTTCTCATTCTGTAAACAATTGTCTTCTCTGACTACCTCTTCTTTTTAGAATTGTTTATTTGGTGAGGTACCTGTTCACATAGAACCCAAGCATGTGCTTGAGTGCTGTCACGTGTTCTTGATGGTGAGAAGGCCATAATATACTTTGTGAAAAAAATGCCATGTATAAGATTAACTTTGTTTTGTCTTAACTTACAGTGCTGTTGGTTGGGAATTTACTTTAGGAAATACACAACTTATGTTAACCAAGATGTGTTTTATTTTGTTCGAGACTGTTTCATGTAGTCCATGCTGGCTTGACCCTGATTACAGTCAGCTGTGACTTTTAACTCCTGATCTTTCTGCTGTCACTTCCCAAGTGCTTGGAACAGATGTTTTCCACCATTGTAGATTTTATCTAGTTTTAAAAAATGATTTATTATGCTGGGCATGGATGGTGTACACGTTTAATCCCAGCACTCAGGAGGCAGAGGCTGCTGAATCTTTGTGAGTCTGGTCTACAAAGCTACATAGAGAAACCCCATCTTATCAACCAAAGCAAAATAAAGAAACAAAACTGTGATTTGCTCTTTTAAATTATGTATGATGTGTGTGAACCTGTAAAAATAAGTGCTGGTGCATGTAGAAGTCAGAAATGTTGGCCCTCCCTGGAATTGTAGATAACATGCTGTTATGAGTCACTGGATATGGGTCTTGGGAACTGAGCTCAGGTCCTCTGCAAGAGCAGGATGTACTCTTCTTAATGGCTGAACTATTGCTCCTGCCCATGGATATTTATTTTCATTTTATGTGTATGTGAGAGTTCCTGTATGTATGTCTATGCACAATGCCTGTGCCTGGTGCTCTCTAAGGCCCGAAGAAGGCGTTGGATCTCTTGAAACTGAGTTACAAATGCTTGTGAGCTGCCATGTGGTTACTGATTACTGAACTTGTGTCCTCTGCCAGAGCAGTTTGTGCACTCTTAGGTGTGAGCCATCTCTCCAG